TTCCCCCTCCTGTCCAGCCCCTGGTCAACGCCCCACCCCAGTAGGCCCACTTTCTCCCCTCACTCACCCCTCCCTGACCCCGCCCCTCTTCTCCCCCAGAAGGGTCACTTATGGCCCTATCAATACTTATTTCGTCTTCCAGCGAAGCCATCTCAGTGATTCTCGTGGTAAAAACATTTGTCAAAAACGTTACTGAGATCTCATTGGTATGTCGAGCATCGCTGCACTGTCTTGAAAACCGTTATTTTACCGACTAGAACAAGCTTATGTTATAACAAATGTAGCAAGACGTATATGAATTTCGTGTCAGTTGATTGATCCGATCAAACCAGTTGAGGACTGATTTTTTATTTTGGCGTTTTAGATATCACCTTTGTGTTCATTTACAGGAACCGCCAAGGAACAAGGAGACAGAACTGATGCTGTATCGAAGAGAATACAACCCCTTGTTACGGGAAGAAAAGAAATGTACGCTGCTTTTAATCCTTTTTTTCCCAAGTTTCTTAATTTTTTACTTATGCACTCAGCTATTTTTTCCATAATTTGGAGCTTGTGCCATCCACGTCCACCATGTCCTGTTTATTGGAATTATTAGACCCGCAGAGTTAGCCAATAGCCATCGTAACGCTTTTCTAACATTAGAATAAATTATGATGACTTATAAATAACAGTAAAAAGTTAGCTAGGCTAGTTGTTGGTAAAATTATGACGACTAATATAATAGTCGAGAATAAACAAGATGATAAGTAACAGCCATTAGAAAGCCGAATCATAATTGGACGGTCCAAGCGGAGCGGCCGGAATGGGTTAAATTGAAAAGTAAAGGCAGAAATAAATAGCGAGAGAGGGGAATGTGCTGCAACCTGTTGGCGCCAACCATCCGCCGTTTCATTGCTCTTTGAAAGACTGCCAATTTTCGTCCTTCAGCAAACGTGATAGTGTAGAATAATGTAGTAAAATGCGGAAACTCATAGATATCACATAATCACATATTCGTCTTTTGTAAGTTATCGCAAAAATGATGCAAGAATAAAAAAAGCCTGTGCGTGTTTTCGCTTTTGATCATAGCAGATGTGAAATTGTTCGATAATTTTTGAGATTAACCAATCTAAATTTTTCAACTGCGCTTTGGATATATTAATGGAATAAGTATTTCAGGGACAGTCAAGGAATGCCAGATCTTGCGAAGTGCCGTCCGAAAATCACTTATTGAAGCGCGTATTCAACCGTTTCTTCGAAGGTAACGTAATTTTTTCAGTCAGATTGCTTGTTTTTAGAAGGAGGTAGCAGCATGAAAGCCTAGGTGATGATGCGGAGGTAAACAAAGAGCGTTACAGTGTGTAGAAATTGAAAAATTTACAAAATTTTATGCTCAATATGAGAGAGCGGGGGAAGATAGTGGTGCTTAGGGATGTCTATGCAGTGGATGTAGCATTAAACAACTTATTTTCTTTTCATTGACATATCGCTTTTGTAATTAATTTTTAACAAAAATTTTTTTATACTTTAATTAGCGGCTGTTTTATTATCGCGTTTTTCGTCGCTAATGCTAATGGCAACTTCTCTGCTCTTACTCTCTCCGATTTTGGGCTTTTCTTATCCATATACATCCATATAGCCATTTTAACGAAACCATTTTCTGCATCTTTGATCTTTTTTTTTCGCTTTGTTTCCTTTAACTGAATTATACATACGTAAGACGTAGTGGTGCTTAAAGACTGAATTTGAAGCCTTTGGATTGAACATTTCTATTTCTTGTCTGTTTTTATCTTAAATAATTTTTATACTACACTAAACTATCTAAATTATTTTGTTGCCGCAGTCATCGTATTGACGAAGTCCAATTGTGGTAACGGTAAGAAATGTATAAGAATTAATGGACCGAAACATTTCTTACTTATTACAAATATTTTCATACTCCCCTTTCCCCTTCTTATTTTGCCTTTTTCTCCGTTTTTCTTCCTTCCTTCATCTTTTGTACTTCATCATTTTCTCTTTATCCTTTAACATCTTCATGAAATTTCAACCTTCTGCTTGCATGGTTCCCGAAATCGCTTTCCCGCCAAGAAATCTTCTATCTGCTCGTACATGAGAACCACGTGGGGGTAAGCTTTAATTTTAAGATTAAGGACCCGCAAATAATTTGCAAATACCATTTCATAATTTGTTTTGCCCGTTTTTGTCTCATTGTTGCCACGTGTCTGTTTTCTTTTTTCGGTAGTTTCACAGTATTTATAATGCTCTTTTCTTTTGTTTTTGGTAAACCTCAACTTTTTTGCAGCATATCCTTTTAGTCGCATTTTGTGGGGCAAAAGAAGCACCAGTTTTTTTGTTTAAGGCGCGAATTGCTCGCCAAAAAAATCCAGGCAAGTGGACAAGAAACAGCAGCGCAGCAAATAGCGGAATGGAGAAGTTCGCTAGCTGAGCAGGAACGCCTCATCAATTATCACAAGTAATATTTTCACATGATTTTTTTTTTCAGATTTCCTAAAAAAAGTTTGTTGCTCACTGACTTTTTCATCTTTTTTTGGCACTTAGCTGGAAGGCTGAAATTACAAAAAAACTAATTTATGTCCTTTGAAAGATCAGAATTCAATAGTTCCAGCTCTACTGTTTATTAATATTTTACAAAAAATTTCTTCACTCAGATAATTCAGGAATTTGCCAGACAGTGAAATTTTTATGGGCGATTATTCGGAAGTGGATTGGGTGAAGATTGCACAAGTTGATGTAAGTTTCCATGCTTTTGGTTTTTTATTTCATTACAAAGTTTTTTTTTGCGATACTAGTGGAATTTATGCAAATAACTATACATTTCTCCGTCCTGGCATATTAGTTCATCATATAGACATGAGGGAAAAACATTTATTTCCTCCCGCCCCGCCCTCTGCCCCCTCC